GGGGGGGAGCCGTTACTTCGTTATTATTACCGGATTGGGAGGCCACCGAGCTCTTTGAGCAACAGCTAGCTAGTGTTGAAGGCTAAAAATAGTTTTGGAATATTTAAATTGTTTTTCGTATTCTTTGATTAGGGAGAGTCAAGATACCACAATGTTCTTAGCCTTGGCGTAGGCCGCGGGCGCGTTGGCGGCGCGGTACAGGGAGAACACGAGGCGGCCCTCTGTAGCGGCGGCGCGCGCGCTGTACCCGTACGACAGCCCGCCGCCGCGGATCAGCCGCCACATCGGACCCTGGAGGTCAAATAAAACATATCATACCTTTTTAAATACCTTAGCGGCCTATAGTTATTGACTACATACTTATTTCCCATGACGCTAGAACTATAAGCTCTGATCCACTAAGAAATTTTACATTAATTGTAAGGACATTTTTATTTGTAATTCTTGTAATTGTAATTGTAACAATTGTAATTCGATGCTTGTAATGGAATAATGTAATATGTCACAATGGAATACTATTACATTATGGAATGGAATAGAATAACATGGAATAATAGCGTAAGCGTTGTAAATAGCCTAAGCATCTGTCCAATATTAGTGTTTCTTGACTTTGTTGTCGCTGCGCTGACAATTTTGTTGGTCGATATATTAAAAATGATGTATGTATGTGTGCGGCGTCACCTCCAGCTGTGTGAAGTAGTTGAGCGCGACGAGCAGCGGCGCGAGGTCGTGCGGCGCGTGCCCCAGCGGGCCGGGGCTCATCTGCACCACGAAGGAGGACTCCAGCCCGCCCACGCCCACCACGAAGCCCTCGCCCTCGCCGCCGCAGCCCTCCCGCGCGCGCATCAGCTCCGCGTCCCAGTACAGCTGCGGCCTGCGCAATGAAATGCACATAAAGTTGTTTTTTTTCTTTTTTTAACAAAAAAACTAAACCCAACTTTAGGACAAAAATCTGGTACGCTTTTTGAAGGAAATATCTAATTGGATAGTTTTTAATTCATATCTATAATAATATTATAAAGAGGAAAGATGTACATTTTTCGATTTTTGTATACTATACTATACTTTTTGTATACTATAACTAAATAACTACAGGACCGATTTCAAAAATTCTTTTACCATTTAAAAGCTATATTATCAGTGAGTAACATAGACCACTTTTTTATTATTTTTATAATTACATGCGGACGAAGTCGCAAGCAACAGCTACTATCGAATAAAGCATATAGCAGCTATTCCGCATCAAATAAAAAGAATTCACGTAAATCGATAATGATCATAAATCGCAGAATAATCAACCTAAATACTTAACAAAATAGTGATCAAATTGAGAAAGTCAGTTAAAAAAGATAATAGTTACTTGAGGGGGGTAATTTCATTATCTCTGGCAAATCTCTTCCAGGGCTCGGGGGAGAGCTTGTATCTGTGGAAGTCTGCGGCGAGGTGCAGCCAGGCGTCGCGGCGCAGCGCCGCCAGCGCGCCGCGCGCCTCCGCCACCGCCGCCTCCGCCTCCGCTCCTCCCGCCGCCAGCCGCTCCACCACCTCCTTCAGGAAGCGGTGCTGGCGCAGCACGGAGCACCAGTGCGTGTTGCTGTCCGAGCTGTACAGTGCGTCCCGCAGCATGTCGTATACCATCTTGTTACCATCACGACGCACCTATAAAAAAAATACTGATTTACTTTATGGTCAGAATGGTACTGCAGATTTCTTATCCATAATAATACAAAATGGTTCTTACGAATATTTTTGATTAGCTTTTTGTAAACATTGCAGATGTGTTGCTACCCGTTTATGGAGCATACCTTTTTCTTATAAGTCGCAATACCTCAGAAATGCTAAGTACAGAACATTTAAGAAGACAAGAGAAGTGTACCTTGGCGACGTCATTGATCATCCTCTGCGCGAAGACGAGCAGGCGGTCCTTGGTGAGCTCTGCCGCGTACAGCACCTCGTGTAGGTGCTGCACCACGCTCTCGTAGTCCGCGGGCTCGCACTGCACATCACATAACGTACATTTACATACAAAAATATGTGTAATTTCCCCAAGAGAACATGAAGTCAGACATCTCGACGAATAGACGAAAATTCAATGGCAGAGAATATTTCCCTTTCCTATGCGTCTCTACCACTTTTAAACTCACATTTCATTATCATCCTTTCCTTACGAAAAGGGGGCAAATGGAATGTATCTAAAAAGCCTCCGGCACGCACACTCATTAAAACGCAGAATTGCTCCCACTTTACGTACGTCTTCTGTGTGGTCATGATATTGCACCAGACGAAGCTGTGTGTGAAGCCAGTGTTAAAATCGGTATAAAAGCGAAATTGTGGCCATACCCGGGCTTCGATGTGCACAAAGTTGCCGAAGCGTCCGACGGCGAAGTTCCCGGAGCAGTCGAAGCCGATGGAGTGGCTGAAGAGCACGGTGAGGCGCTCGGTGTCGGAGATGACGAGGTCGTGGGGGCGCAGCTGGCCGGCGCGCCGCACCGCGCACTCGCCCAGCCCGTCCAGCACCAGCGGCAGCCAGCGCCGGCTGCGAGTCTCCACCTTACTCGTGTCTAGGATCAAGTTTATCTGGAAATCGATCATTTCTCACTAAGTAATGCGAAAATACAATATTAAACTGAATTAAAAAAAAATCACTGTCTTTAGTTCTGGATGGATTTATTTTGAAGTAGCTTTCGCCCGCGACTTCGTCCGTGTTAGATTAAAAAAAAAGTGTTGCCTATGTGTTCTTCCAGACTATCCTCTACACCTATGCCAAATTTCATCAAAATCCGTTCAGCCTGCAAACTCTGTAAACATCCATCCATCTAAACTTTCGCATTTTTAATACTAGTAAGATAGTTTCAGTGTTGAAACATCTAAAATCATTTGAATACAGATAGAAGAATTGAATTGGTTAATTATTATCGTCCTAATACAGATTAATAATTTAAATTGTTTTGTTGTGATTTCTTATTTCTGTTGATTTTGACTATTAAATTAAAATTAAAGGTTTTAAATAGTATCTCACAGATTATAGCGCAAATAGTTACGTATCGAATTTCGGTTTTTTTAAACATCTTGTAGAGAAAAAGCAAGCCCAATAGAATTCAACTAATTGAAAGTCATACGGCCAACTCAACTATTAATTCGAAGAGTTTGAAAGTAGGCAAGATAATGTAAAACTAACATAGACGAAGTTGGTGTTGAGCGAGTGCAGACGCGTGTAGAGCGGCACCTCGCGCAGCTCGAAGTGCGGGCAGGGCGCGCCCTCCGAGCTCCACGTGGAGATGTTGTGACACTTCAGCTTGTCGCACGACGGCACCGGGATCGACGTCAGCAGGCCCTCGGGCGGCGGCCGCTGGAATAACAATAATAAGACACATTAAAAAAAAATCATATAAAATATTAACTTGACAAAAGTAGTTTTAAATTGAAATTTACAAACTGTAAAGCACCAATAGTGAAATTGATGTACGGATTTTAAAATCCGCGGTCGCAGGTTCGATTCCCGAAATTCCACTATTAAAAGATTTTATTTAAAAGGTAAAAGAAATAGATAACAAAATATGATTACATAAAAAAAGCAAAAGTCTAACGAACCCGTTTAAGATTCTATAGATTTATTATTATTATTGTAAGTGTTAAGTTAAACAGTGGTAGTGCCCGCTTTAACATCTTAGCACGAATGGGCCGGCACGCCCGGTGTAATACCACGACCACACAGAAAACAGGCGTGAAATGGAACCAATTCCGTGTTTCGTCTGATGAGTGTGGTGCCGGAGGCCTAATTTTAGTCCCTTTCTCTTTACCACCCTTTTCTTTTAAGAAGAGGATGGGAAGAGGAGGTGGATTTGACGGTGGAGGAGATGCATAGGAAGGGGAAATATCCACTTTATGTGCGTCTCCTCCGTCGGATAAGGGTAGGCAACGCATCTGCAATTGCGGATGTCTATGGGCAGCGGTTGATTCGCCATTTTGGCGGATCCAGGTGGCCGCTTGCTCGTTTGCCACTTTATGTTATAAAAAAAAAAAAGTGGAATAACTGAACATTTATTTCTCACCTCATTGTATTCCATAGCAGCGGCCAGTTGCTCCGCTTTCTTCGCCAATCCACCTTCTCCCAGCTTCTTTTGCTGTTCTTCTATTCTCTTAAGTTCTTCATCTGACATTCTGTAAAAAATTGAAAATCAAAAGCATGCTATATACATATTGAATCAGTTTTTTTTGTTAAATTTAACTATTAAAGTAATTTAAAATATCTTTTTTTTAATTACTTTTTCTGCAGTTCGATGCTTGGCGAGCCGACTATTGTCACCAAGTCATCGTTGAAGTATTTCTGAAGAAGACCAATCCAGTAGTCGGAGCCTTCCTCTAAAAGCTCCATTAATACTTGTTGAGGGTTCATTCTTGAAATAAACTGTTAACAAATGTATTTGTTAAATACATTTAAAATAAACATCATTTTAAATACCTATATCTATACTAATTTGATAAAGGAAAAGATTTGTATTTTTGTATGTATTGAAACAACTCAAAATTTACTGGATCAATTTTAAGAATTCATTCACCTGTAAAAAGTACTTAGTTTTATTTTTCAATTTACGCGCGCGAAGTCTTGAGCAACGACAAGACAAAATATACATTTTAATTGGTATTTGAACATATAACAATAACTCATTTATTATTAAAAATCAAGCATTATTCATGCACTCGATTTTTTAATCGTTCTCATTTACTAGATTTATAAAAATCTACACAAAAGACATCTCTTAGTAGGTAGTTAACTACTCACAGTGTGGAAGTGCTTAATAAATGTAAGACTTACATCTTCTTCGTTCTGTGAATACAGAACATCACCGATACATCTGAAGGCAACAGCGTGATGAGGATCCGACTCGAGGCTGGCGATGCTCTCCCGCAGCTGCTTCCTCAGCAGCCTCTTCATCCGCTCCATGTCGATAGGCTCTGCACCGGAGCGCACTCCGGACAGACACTTGCGGGCATCGTCACGAGCCAACTCCAGTTTCTTTATCGGCACATTGTCCAGCTCTATCTTGATTAATGGCACTAAATTCTCCGTTAAGTTGTAAGACACCTGAAAATATTTGTATAAACATTGTACTTTATAAGCTCCTTAAAAATTAACAATTTGTAAGCTTGTGATTTATAAAACTTGTCTATACTGATATAAAGAGCAAATATTTGCATTTCTGAATGTACTAAAAAAACTCAAAAACTGATGGGCCGATTTCAAATATTCTTACACCATAAAAAAGCTACTCTATTGCTAAATAACAAAGGCTAATTTTTAGGTAGGTTTTTTACAGGTAGAATTATATAAGTTGGATATTAAAAATGAACATTTATAACCTTATGATTAATTAAAATTAAAAAAAAAAATGTTTATAGTACAAATGATACTTACGTCCCCGGCGAGGGCGTCTTCCCTCTCTACGAGGCAGCGCTGCAGCGGCGCGGCGGCCGTGTCGCACAGGTAGCGCAGCAGCAGCGCGCACGCCGTCAGCTCGCGCAGCGCGCCCTCCGCGCTCAGCATCGGACCACTCCAGCCGAATATCACCTAATATTTTAGTACAAAAAAATAAGTAACCATGGCGACTTTGCTAGAAAACTGTACTTAATTTTTTTTATATCATAAGGTGGCAAAAAGTAAGTGTCCACCTGAGTTCGCCCAAACAGTGTAATGACCATTGTCAGTAGACTTTTGCAAACAAATGCATTTGTCTGACTAACATAGAAAATATATGTGTAAATGTTAATATATCTTACCTGACCACAATCTTCAGTGTCAGCAGGCCAATGCACAGTGTACTCCCCATATTGTGGTGGTGGCGGCACGGTCTGCCACGGCTTCACCCATTCCTCTTGTGGTTCCTTTTCCCTCTGCCAAGCAATATAAGAAAAACTGAATTTGCAAAAGAAATTACAACAAAGTACAACTTCTTTCTTAAGTCTTTTTACTTTAACAAATTTAACATGTAAATCTAGCTAGTTTTTTATTGTCTATGCAATAGTAAGTTAATAAAAATGTACCTTTGCAATAATGTCATCTTCAACAACAGACAATGCTTTAAACACATCTTCCGCTTCTATTTGTCCAGTGAGAACTATTGTAAGATTTTCAGGTCTGTAGAACTTTTTATGGAAATCCCTCACCTGCAATTTTATATTGTAATAAATAACAGTAATGAAAACATGGAATTAAAAAGATTGTATTGTAAGTTGACTGAGAACATTTACTTTTGTATTGTTAGTTGATGTCCTGAGGTTTTCCATAATACCCCCAGTTTCTGAAGAATAGCCGCTATCAGGATACATGGCTCGTAACAACTGCAGCTCACATCTAGCAACAGACAACATAGGTGAAACTAAGCAATTAAAATAGCAGTTTAAAGTGCATTATTATTATTCATTTTGCCACTACCTTTAAAGAACAAATCTTATAAAACCATAGCTTTTTGTGAAACCATAATAGTGTTTGAAACCACTCTAACAACCCAACAACAAAACCATTATAAACAAGTGTAATCTTTACTTTCAAATAACACTTCAAATTTCACGGTTTATGTCATTAGAAATATAAACAATTTTCTGATTTTGTATTGTAAAACACTTTATGGAATGGTGCATATTAGCAAATATAAAACATTGATTTATACAAATATGCTCTAAAGCCATTTATTGTAGGTAAATAAGTATAAGCAGTTTAAAACAAATATAGTTCATAACATAACTGTGAGCCCTTGTCAAATAATGGCCTCTCTTATAACCCTACTAAAATACATATTACTATACACAATATTTAGTAACTAACCTATGTAATAATACTATAGGCAGTTTTCCCAATATTTAACGGAAGCCAGAAATATTTTTAACCTGTTAAAAGTTAAACTTAAATACTAACCTGCTATAAGATGAGTTCTCCCGTCCTTGCATTTCACAATAAACAACCCCAGCATCTTCCCCATCACCATCAATATGGTGCACTTCAGTTATAAAGCCTTCCTCTGTGAGGGTAGGTCTCAGAATGTGATCCAGGTATATTGGCAGTAACGTCAACATTCCTTCCTCTCCCGCGGTGTAAATAGTGTAACATGTATGATCAGTATCAGTCCAAGCATTAGTCCCATGAGCCATGCATCGATTGGCTAACAAATCGAGGACGCCTTTGTAAGGGTAACGTTCTGATCCCAAGAATATCAAGTGTTCCAACGTATGCGGCAGACCGTCGTCATCGTGAGCTTCGGTAGCTACAAAAAAACTTATCGTGTAACAATCATTGGTACTTGGCGTCATCATTTATGACACATTATATGGACTTACCAAGACAGAAGTAGCCATTTACAACAGGCCCTTCGACATTAGCAATAATTACTTTTAAGCCGGTCTTTTCAGACACGTACTTGTTCACTGGTATGACGTCTGAAGCTTTAGTTGATGATATTAGTTTAAAATGAGACATTGTTAGGTTTAGTTTTCTCCAAAAAAAAGATACAACCTCAAACACAAGTTTGTAAAACCTGCTTTAGTTAGCCGGTAATTTTGTTTGTGTCATTCAGCATTTAATAAATACTAAATTAGCCAGGCCAATTAGAATTTGATTTTGATGTGACATTTGGTGACATTGAGAATTGACAACAAATTGCTGCAGATAACAAAACGTAAAATGGACGAAAACAATCGAGCCATGACAGACCCGAGTTAGATAATATCGATATTCAACAAATAGTATCCATTTTTTTCGATACAGAGTACTTTTCCAACAGTAACAGTTTTAATGGTAAAACTAAGAGAAGTTTTATGCCCATAAAATAAATGTTATATGTTGATGAGGAATGACAAAAAATTCGTTGAATTAAAACATCGATACCTGAGTGTTTTAGTTTTATTCTGTTTTCTGTATTCTCTTTAGGTTGTGACTATGGGTGTGTGTTTGTCTGGGTTTCGATTTCGACTGCCGTAAAACTTGAATTGTCACATGTTATGTCTATTTTTAGATAGAAAATGTGTGCAACAATATGTGCAAATACTATGGAAAAGTGAAAATGCAGTCGAAACTCACAGCTCACAGCTCCGTTGGAAATATGCCGCATTATGTAAAATCTTCAATAGGACGCTATTACTACCATCTACTTACACTTCAACTACGGTCAATTACCTAAATAACTGTGTGCCCCTTTTGGGAAAATCTTATGCAGGATAAAAATCAGTAATTTAAATACTGTTCACGCTTTATGCCAACACTGGGTTCATTAATAGTCTAGTAGTTTTTTAACATGTTTAATCAAATAGAATAAAATCAAGATTCATCAGCGTGAAATTAATAATGAAAAGTAATTATTCTTCGGGGTTAAGAAGATTATTAGATAAATAATACTGGTTTGACGTCTATTGCTTTGAAATGTAAATTATATAACCTTCGATCACAATATTTTTCTTTATTTGAACCTTGATCGTGACCTGTAGTGTCGCATTTTGTACGTAAATTAATGGGTTTTAATAATTAGACTCTAGATGCACGCTAGTAATTACCTCTCAAATGGGAGGGAGGGGGGAGGCAATGTCTTGCACGAGTATGTAAGGTTCTCTACACTTTCCACAAAAAAATCCCGAATATTTAAATTGCTACAAAGTCATCTTACTTCTTACTAATATTATAAATGCGAAAGTTTAGATGGATGTTACAGTTTGTAGCCTAAACAGCTGAACTATGAAATTTGGCATAAATGTAAAGGATAGTATGGAAGGATGCATAGCATACTTTTTATTTTTTTTAAATCCACGCGGACGGAGTTGCGGCGAAAGCTAGTAGCAAATAATATTAGCTTGCACATATCGCAGATAGTACAATACCAAGTATATTAATACTTTTTATATATGTACTTCGTGAGTAAATGCTATAAAATCCAGGGCTCTGTTATGCAAAAAGGGGTTACTCGTTTTTATTAATTTTAATTCAACTTAATTTTATGTCAATTAATTATAATTAAAAGAGTAAAAGAATAAGACAAATGAATTGGAGAAATTACGGAATTATTGTGTGAATAGTTAGAAATGTGAGATAGTCGTTGGAGAGATGCGTCTTAATGTGCTTTCTAGTTGATTGTGGATGTATGCGGATTGTTTTTCTGCGTGTCGGCACAGTTGTGAGTTGCACGTTTTGTTTGCGGCTCCCACGGCGAGATTATCAATTACAATCACCAAGCGGCAGCCGGTGGGGTTTCGGTCGCCCTGTATCCGTTCACCACCTCACTACAACAGCGTGCGTCGTCGCCGGCGGTGCCAGTGCGTTCTTGATTACGAATTTACGTACGAAAAAATCGTCACGTTTCTTGCAATCGAAAACAATCAAAATCGGATTCTTAATTGGTGAGTTTTCTTTTAATTTTTTTTACAAGTTAGTGGCCTTTTAATTTTTCAACTTTAATTGACAGATACTTTTTGGCAATACTTTTACATAAATTATTCGTTTTATTTTCGACCTATGTAGGAAAATTAAAATATATTTGGTGTGAATGTAATGAAACATTCGGCAAGCTTCTTATCGTTTTAGTTTATTAAACTTTGTCAGTGCACCTGCACTTAATCTGAAATAATAAAAATGTTTGAAGTTTAAAACTGTAACAGTAACTAGCTTACCTACGACCACTGCAATTGGATTCCGATGGTCAGACGTAGGGAATTACCCAGCGATTGTATTGATCTAGAAATAATTAATTTCGCTACCACGAACGTTTAAATTGAAGTCTGTACGATCGATATGGGAAAATAATTAAGTTAATTATTCTAACCACATTTGTTTTCTTACCACTGATGCATCTTCCAATTTCCAATTAAATTAGTTGTAAGAAGAAACTCGTTCTTGAATATTGGTCAAAGGAAAATAAAGTTCCTATAGCAAAGTTTCGCCAAAATAAAAAAATAGAATGCCTCCTGTTATTGATATTTAAGATAGGTTTATTTTTTGTTAAACGTAAGTAGTTTCCTGTTTTCTTATAGTAGCTTGAAGGGCAATGATTGTTGTTTTTCCCCAGAATGAATAATGTCAACACACCACAAACCTGGTATCTTTACGTGACACCTATTTATTATTTATTCCGGGTCTCCGGGATTAATGAATCGGGAAGCAAAATATATTCGTAGTTAGGAAATCATTTTACGGATATTTTGTTAAAGTACTTAAATGAATTCATATCTAAATTTTTTGTTTTAAGATATCAGAGGATAAAGCATTATCAAATTAATCACATATGCCCCTGAAAGTACTAATTATCCATGTTATCGAAATGCTTACATAATTACATTTTTATTGATAACTGCGTGTCAGTTACATGAGTTATATATTTTTTGAGATAATAATTTTATTTTAAACTTTTGTTGACCTTAGATATTATCTACTTTACCATGCAGTGTTAAATGATAGGGTTACGTCTTCGTTTGTTTTTAAAGGATTAAATATGAACTTAATTCGTGTGTTATTATAAAGGTAAAAATGAATTTATTACGCAGTTTACATTAGTCCAGTAATAGATTAACTGCATGATAAATACTGGAAGACATAACATGCTGGATTGCAACAAAAATGTAAATCCATAGTGACACCCATAGAATGTATTCCAGTTAGTTTTCATTTTTCCCGTTGTAATCTAGCACTGGGTTAGATCGCTGGACTGGAATAATATAAAAGAATTCGGAAATCTTATGAATGTATTAAGTTCGTTGCACCCAGAAAAAGTATTTTTACGGATATTAATTGCAGCCCTTCTGATTTGGAGGAGAACGACTTTACCTCTGTTAAGACCTTAGTTACTAAATAAAATTTATTATATTACTTAACAGACGTTTGTAACAATTTTTTTACTGAAGAATTTATATTATCTATGGTAAATTGAAATTCCAAAACCAAAATCCGTTTTAATTTTACCTACTTACTGTCATATTTTATTCATTATTCTCAATTAAGATAATATCTAATCATTAAATATGTATATGTGTTTGTGTATGTATCTCAAGTAGATACTAATTTCGCTGCTTTAAGCAATCCTATTCTGCAAAGTAGTAATTTATCTTGTAGTCAGAGTTGGCTACGTCGTATTTCAAAATCCTGAGTTACAACATTTTGTCATGGACGGATGATTTACTTATATACGGACCACTGTACACCAGCTTCAAGCAGTAGACATTTAATTTTCAATGGCGACTATACAATGTCGATTCCCTTTTATTTATTGTAATGATTTTTTTTTAATTACTAATTTTTTGGCATTTTCTTTGGTTACAGTGTACATTTATTACGTGTTTGGCTCACAGAAAATCATTGTATGGACATCAAAAATAGATTTTGTTAATAGAAATTAGAAATACATTGTAATGTACATTAGTATGCCAATAGTTAGGTAACGAAGATCATAAATCGCGTGAAGGACGTTTTTACAATTCGCGATTCTGAGATTGTGCATAAAATACAAAGTAAAGTTAAAATGGTTTTATTTTTATAATTGTAATGTAAAAAAGTTATGACAATTCATAAATCATACTTCATACTAATATTATAAATGCGAAAGTTTAGATGGATGGATGGAAGTTTGTTAGAGTTTGTAGCCAAAACGGCTGAACGGATTTCGATGAAATTTGGTACAGATGTAGATGGTAGTCTGGAAGAACACATAGACTACTCACTTTTATTTTTCGTAATTCCACGCGGACGGAGTTGCGCGCGAAAGCTAGTATTTCATAGCGTTGGCAGTATATTTCAATTTCATTTAATTTGTTATGGCTTTGATACCGTAGCTCTCAACAATATAACCTCAAAAACTAAGTACTCAACATGGTTCTACATTTTGAAATGAATGGCCTACATAAGTCATTTGGTACCGTAATTTGTAAACATGTAACCGTGTAAACATCTTTACAACTGTCGTGAGTTAACATTAATACAAGCAAATCTTCTTTCTTCGTTACTTCATTATTATCAATTTTCTGAATAGAATCTTCGACGTAAAATACGTGTCATTAATTATATTTGTTGTTAAATAATGTACAGATCGATGTAACGTAATATGAGTTATCGTTATATTTATGTACTTTGATAAAGTTTTGAATATTTACGGAAGAATAGCGTATTTACGTTTCCTAATTTCGTGTTTATCGGACAGAATCATAACTAATATTTGAGGATTAGAAGTAATTAAGATTAATGTTTATATTTATTATTCTATGCTGTAGTATATTTGTATTTAAACGTATGTATGACATTACGTCCAAGGTCGTCATGTCTTTTCACAATAGTTAATACAATAGTATTAGAGTCATTACCGCATGATGAGCCCCTCATTACCTCAGCCCATAACAGTGTCGCAATGCCACAATGCCAACAGCCGGCATTCAATGTGAATTCATTATACAGGATTTATAAAGGGATAATATTAATTTTATTATTGTTAAGCAATTACTGAACTAGCTTTCAGCACGGTTCTGTAGTTCGATAGGTAAATGAAGTGTAGTCTATGGTATGTTATTTGTGAAGATAATTTTTTTCGATAATGAAATGACTTTAAATTTTTTTTGAATTAAATGTTATTAGTTAATAATTAGTTAAATTATTTTTTAGCATGTTCTTTGTTGTATTTTAACGAATTGTACAACATTTTCTATACCTACCTATTTTTTGGCATATATCACGATTGATTTGTTTGTCTATGCATATATTAGAACCTTGGTTTAAACATTTTAGCATATCATTAATGTGCCATCTTCAAATACGATTAATTCGGTCTCGGATTATAATATTTGCTTCCAATATTTATATAAACAAAACGATGTGATCATATATGGCACTTAATAATTTTAGTGTCGCATTTATCTATGAACGTAATTGTTTTTATAGATTTACCTGATCTCTATAATTACAAGAAAAATTGATTATTAAATAATATGGTTAAAATAGTTTAAAGAAATTAATTAACAATGCATTAAAAACATCGTATGAAAAGTGTCATTCGTATCGTATCGTATGCATTCGAGTAAATCCTACGTTATACTACTTGGGGTCGGCGCAAGAGATTTTTGTCCTCCAAATTACTCTATCATCCGTCATCTCAGTTATCACTACGTTCTTGATCATGTCACCTTTCACGCAATACATCCATCTCTTTCTATGTCTACATCTACCGGTGTACCCTTCCACACTCATAATTAACATTCCTCTTGTTATATGCGATTCAACCCTCATAAATCATAGAATATATTATGTAGCTTAATAAGAATAAGATGATTGTGTTCATCTTGAACTTTTGACATTAAGTTATAGTGTTTTTGGATGGTTTTTATATATTTCCGGTTTTTTATTAAAGAATTGATAATGTTTCTATTACAGAAATATGTAAGCAGTTAAATAAATTGACATAACTAGTGTAAATATTATTTAAACTCGATTAATTTGTAATAGAAATAGTCATTTCGGTTTGGTTAATAAATAATTTAGTTATAGTTGGAAATGCAATGTAACTGCTAACAATTACACCGCGTAAACATCTAATAGACGAAGTTAACAGCTTGGGCTTGAATCTAAAACATCCTTAATAAGTATTAAATATATAACTAAAAGTATATAATACGTAAGTAAGTATATAACTTTAAAGTGACCAACCATAATGAAGACAGTACTGAATTTTGGATACTTTCTTGTTATAACGAAATATTTTTTCTCATTGTTAGATCAAAAGTAATAAAATGCTTGTTTACTTATGTTGAAAGAATAAAAGTAAATTCTAGTTCACGGCTCACATGTTAATTTACAGTATTTGTGAGCGAGAGTGGTAGAGAAACGTGGTGGTAAGACTAACTGATTGATCTTTGACCTACAAAGATTAACATTGCGTGAACTCCAGACTATTAACTTAAAATACATTTGAGGTTAAGAGTTAATTTTAGGTTAGTCCTACTCCTACTTAACATGCTACCAACTTTGTTCTAATTTTGTTTCTTTCCGTATCAATAATTTTTGATCCAGTCGCATATAAAGTCATAAGGTTGTGTTTTGTTACCCACTACGATCGTAAAATAAACTAGACTGTTATGGGAAAAATTGAAAAACAATTATTATAAACAATTTTCTTAACTTTATAATATTTTTTTTAACTCATAATCAAACGTCTACTCGTAATCGTCTCCAGGAAGATAAAATAAAATAGAAACATTGATTTTGTATTAAGAAGTATAAAAAATATGATCGATGTTTTTAGGCTTGAAACACGTATTGGAAATCGGTTAAGTTTCTAAATAAGTCTCCTTGGGTAGGAATTTATAAAAATCTTCAACATTAATTTAAAATTTATGTGACATGCTACCTTTTATTAGGATACCGAAAC